TTGATGAAAAGTGAGAATATCTATCCAGAAATGGTACCGCAGAGACACATGGAAGTTGTATGTTGGGTTCTTGATAGCTCCATTCTCCTCCCTATGTGGGATTCACTCTCTGGATGCAACCCCTTTTCCCTCTTGCTGAGTCACTGCAATTCATCATGGAAGATGCATTTTGAACCGCTACCCACAGAGAAAAATGGGAGCCGAAAGCACCTATGACAAAGCTAAAGGTGCTCAGTGGTGAATTTTGATCTGTACACCAAAATGTATTTTCCAAACAATGAAACAGCCATCACTGAAAGGCAAACACAGACCAGAGTGGATCCCAAAAGAATGTAACTTTTCTTGGAACTAAAGAAGGAAGCCTATCCAAGCCTATGTCTGCACTACAGGGTTTTTCCAGGATATCAGAGGTATTCCAGAAAAACACTGCTGCATCCAGAGAACAGGTCTGCTCTTCCTCTTTTTTTTGCGGAAGAGCAGATGTGCTCTTTTGAAAGCCTTGTCTTCCTCCTCCCATGAGGAATAAGGCCTCTTCCGAAAGAGGAGGCTTTTCCAAAGTTTGGCCTGATGTAGACAGGCCAAATTTCGGAAAAGCCTCTTCTGAAAAAAACTATCAGAAAAAGGTACGCAAATTGTGGAGCTCAATTTACTACCTTTTGTGATACATTAGTGTAGTGTAGACATAGCCCAACACAGTTAGCAGTGAAGAATGTCATTAAATGGGTCTAAAATGTGTGTAGACTGTTATAATTGTTTTATCTAATGGTTGTTCCTTTTGCTAATAAATGGTTGCTATTTTGCTGTCTAAGGTTTCCAAAAGGAAAGAAACTCAGGTGTTAGTTGGACCTGCACTGTAATAAGCAGGTAGCATAGATGAGGTGTTGAGGCGGTGTATCCAGATCCTGGACTAACAGTGGAAGTACTGTGAAATTTTACCCTCCCGGACAAGCAAGGATATAAGGCCTAGCATCTGATGGGGCCCCACAGAGCCCACCAAGAGAAAAGATTTCCAACCAGTCTTGTAGCTACAGACCACATGAAATACAGCTCTCAAAAGACCAATAATGGTATTTTCAAATGGCAATTTTTGCTTTTTGGATGATTTATATTTCATTTTTAGGATGCTTGGTGTTTCAATTAAAGCCAATATTTTTCAAAGAAGCAAGATGGTGAGATAATATCTTTTACTGAACCAGCTTCTGCTACTGAAAGAGACAATGTCTGACCTACACAGAAGTCTTCAGGTCTACTAGACCTAAAGAAGAGATCTCTGTGAACCTTGAAAGTTTGTCTCTTTCACTAATAGATATTGGACTAGTAAAAGATATTGCCTCTACTGTAGTGGAATTTGCCCCTTGCCCGAAAAAGATAAGGAACTGGCCTAATAGCAGTTAGAGGCCCACTAGCCTCTTAAGCAAGAATGAAGCTATATTTCACATTCTCTAGCTTGCGACAGGCAGAGATTAGCAACATAGCTATGAGGAAGTAAAACCACACGTAGGTATGAGATAAGAGAACTCCTCCCCAGCTACCGAAACTCCAATCGTGAACGTTAAAAAATAATGTACTGCTGTGCTTTAACCAATGAAATGCTTTAACCAATGAAATGCAAAAGCCAATCAAACTGTTATTCATGTTTCCGATAAAAAGCTATGCACAGAGCAGCGCGGGGTCGCCCCTCACCATTTTTGCTGTAAAGCTCAAGGGGATGACCATCAGCGCTGATTAATAAAGGTCTGGTAAATCCTCCTTCGGGCATCCGTGTCATTCTGTTACACCGGTTTGAGTCCGGTACGGTTACACTACCACCTCATCTTTCTATCATGGCACCAACACAGCTATGACATTGAAAACAAAATATTTCATGCAACATGGATGCTTTTCACTTTTTTCTTTCTTTTTGTTTTTAAGTTCTATTTTCAATTGAAAATGTCTTGGCAGCTCTCATTTGTACATTCTGCTGCGTACAATGTGTCAACTGCTTAGGCTTTCAGGTTTTCCACATTACTTTTTGCACGTTAACCCAGTCCATCACTCTTCTCAGTCTTTCTAGCCACCCATCTCAGCACTGGATTTCCTTGGTCAGGGAATCTGTTTAGCTACACTAAATTCTCTGTGAAGATTAGGCGTGACTTGCCTGCAGTAGCAACCTGTCAACTAAGTAAACTATTGTATTAATATGGGAATCTTTTTACTTCAACTTTCTTTCATATCCTAACTTGTTTGCCTCCATCCTCTGTATCCCTGTGGGTTTGTTGCTACTAAAGTGCATTCTCCCCTTCTCTGCACCGCAGCTGAAGCAGCAATGACGCATCTTCATAGGGGCTTCTTTACAGCATGTCCTTGTCAACCTCCCACTCTCACGGCTGCTGTCATTGGTACCATCTGGCATATAATTAAACTAGTCTCTCTCCCTCACTGGCACAGTTCCAAGCTCTCCCATTGTTGTGAATGTGGCTTCAAGCACCTTCCTTTTTATTATGGTATTTTCATGTTTATTTTAATTTTCCAAGTGAATTTTGGCATTTGTGAAAGATTGGCAGCCTTTTTATTTTTTTGTTTTGTTGTTTTATTCTTGGATTAAGCACAGCACAGGCAGTTGTAAGGATGGGTTACGCCATGCTGCCCAACAAACATGCTTAACCCTTTCCTAGCAGGGAATTATTCCTGGAACAGAAAGGGTACTTCCGTCTCCAAGGTCATTCAATCTGTAACCTGCCAGACAAGCCAGTCAAGTACTGGCTTTTGTGGTGACTCATTTGGTGTTCCAACTGACTTGAGTTGGCCACCAAATGGGTAGTAACAACTCTGACGAGTTTTATCCTGCCTCATTTTTTAGTTTTATAAATACTGTAGTATCTGAACATAAACAGTAAATTACATGTTCTAAGTAACTATTGATTAGAGCTGGAACTGATGCAACAGCATAGAAATCAAAGCCTCTATGAATTTCCCCTCTCTGTCTTGTTCTTATTTTTTTGTTAATTGAGTTCACAACAGAATATTGGTGGCTCAATAAATTGTAATCCCTTCGTAGATGGTTGTGTGAAACAGATATTTGGGTGGACAAAGGAGTGAGTAGAAGCAGATATTCATTTAATAGGAAATAAAGGATAATTTCATACCTGTGATACATGGCACCATATAAATCCACTCCCGTTTGGCCCCATGTTTATATACCTTTTCAAAACAATTTGTTTTGTTCTATTCGTCTACATCAGGGGTGTCCAAACTTTTTTCAAAGAGGGCCAGATTTGATGAAGTGAACATGCGTGAGGGCCGACCATTTTGCCTGACATTCTTTGAACCATTAAAATTAAATGCAAATTAACTATTTTATGCAAAGTTTATTGCAAACGGCATACTTTTCATTTCGTCACATGGATGACAAATCTAAACAGGTGTTAAATCACTCTGCCTTTCATATCTGAAGGCCAGATGAAAAAAAAAATCCAGGAAGCTGAAATATATGTCAGGAACATTGTAAAGTACATTACATATTATTGGTAATAAAGGTTGTCTGTCAACTTTTAAGTTCAAAAAATATGAACAGGAACATAACACCAAGTATACATGTTGTGTCCAAATATATTTATAACTGATTTAGACCAACTGACTTTAACTGAGATTTTACAATGTATTCATCTCAATACATATGGATTCGTTGGGGGCCATAAAAGATAGATATTGCCAAATTACCCGTGGGGCCATATTAAACCGGAACACGGGCCGCAATTGGCCCGTGGGCCGGACTTTGGACATGCCTGGTCTACATGGAAATATCAGTTTCCCCTAAATCTAGACCCACAAGTGCATAGAGGTTTTTATCCCATGAAGATAATTGAAATGCTATGTGCTATTGATCCATATGTAGAAATGGAGGATAAAAGTTCTATTACCAATAAACTATTTGAGCACATAAGTTGGAGGCAGTTGAACAAGACGTAGGTTGGAGAACTAATTGGATAGTGACCACCTGTCAGCATGGCTGTGGCAGGCAGTATGTTGTGTTGTAGACTAAAACATCTCAGTGGTTTTTGCAGTATTGAGAAGAATTTACAGATGTTATAAATTTCATTAAAGAGATGGCAGTTCAAACATTTCTACTCTATTTCCCCACAGTCACATCTATAAAATGTTGGCAAAGTAAGCTAAAGATACTTGCTTTTGATGAAACTTCAATTCAGTGTAATAGTGTACTAAGCAATATCAATACTCTAAAAAGTGATAACTGCAGGAAAAAGGACATTTCATTAAAGCTTTCAGATAAACCAAGTATCCAAAATCTGATTGTATAGTGCACTATTTTTTCCTTTCATCCTTCAGGAAGTTTCGATGATCTGTGCATTACTAATAGCCAATATTTTTCAAAACATGGCTAGTGCTCTTGATAGATTAAGAAGCCCCACATGGGTCAGACCCAAAGATCACCCTCAACTTCAGTGGGCTCTGAATAAATCCCTAAAATTGTCTTGGAATATTGCCAGATTGAGACATTTGTTTCTTTTTATGAACTGAAGCCTAACTTCCCAAAGGCATTTAGGCACCTAACTCCGATCTGAGCCTGAATCACTAAGTGGGTAAAAAATGGGGTTTAAACTACAACAGGGAAATTCAAATATCTTTGGAACATCCCATCCCTGCCCCTCAAACCCACCAATATGGCCCAAAATTCATGACGCAACAACATTCAATAATTCCTACTGTACAATGTCTCATAGGGAAAAATTTCCTTTACGGTCAGCCTGTATAAAATACAAGAGCATTTGTTCCAGCCTAAAATAGTGAATAGACTCTGGTGCAAAAAATGCTTTGAGGATTTGTGTATGTAGATGCAGCATTTTGTTTTTTCATAAAATGTTTTCTAAACATGGCTACAAGAGGGTAGTAGAAATGGATCCTGCTTATAATTAATACAAATTGGATGAACTAAGACATTGATTACAAATGAACTGAGAAGACATTTTGAGAGAACTCTTTGCCTGTGCTTTCTCTGTTAGACAGGGTTATGAAGAACTGGAAAGACAACTGAAAGAAATCTTTAAAGAAAGGAGCAATATCCTCCGTCAACTGTCGAAGACATCAAAAGAACTTGAGGGAATTAAAGTAAACCTCCAGGTTAGATTACCCTTCGCTTTTCTGTGATATACAATCACTCACATAGTTCATTAGTATCAATTTGTTATAAGCATATTTTCTTTTAACTTGAGACTAATTAGTAATTAATAGCCTTGTCTTACATGCTGCGAATGCCAGTTTTCAGTATTACTTAATCTGAAGAAAACATGAGCCATGTTATACATGAGTGGATTATGCAGTTTATGAATGCAAAAAAAATTCCTTGGATGCTTGGTCTCATTTGTGAAAACTGAAGCAGCTAATGGAGAAACTTTATGGAGCAGAATACATTGGATTATGAGAAGAATAATTTTTTTATAGATTGAGTCCATGGAGCTACCCCTTACTACCATTAGTGAACAGTTACAAAAATAGTCCTATGTTGGCTAGGGAGTATATTATTTTCAGTTTTCTAGCTGACACAGATATGCCAGCAAAACTTGTTAAGGTAAACTAAGGTAAACACTAGCTTGAGTGAGAGAGGACACACTGAAATAACACTGCAGAGTGTTAGATAATGCTGCAGACTATTTTCCCTGCTGAGCCAATCAACTTTAATTAACTGGAGCTCGATGGTGCTTTTAAGTGTCTTGATGAGTGGATAGAGCTCAAGATAAGGACAATACTTGAATAGAGTTATAACTCTGTAGTGATGATATACAGAGCCGGCCCACAACATTTTGGCACCTGAGGCGGGGAGCTCAAATGACGCCCCCATACTCCCTCACTTGGGCCAAAACTTTGAAAGGTCTCACTTCTGCCTTCTTCCCGTTCTACTCCTCTCATGGTACTGCTCTGCCACCTACCCCAATAAAGGAGAACTAACAACTTAAAATGCCTTGTTCACAAATTGTAAGTAACACTTAACTTTCAAATTCCTGAACAGCAAATGGAACTTTTCTTGTCTGCATAGTAAACACTGGCCTTTTTATCTGTTTGAATAAACAAAGTGGTGTTTTCTGTGCCTTCTTGGTTGCAAAGATTTGAACTGCTTCCTGAAGGTCCAGGCTGTGTCTACATTGTCAATTTTCACATTAAAAATAATGGAAAATGTGGGGGTTGCGTTTCAGGTAGTGGTGGCAAAGTCAATGTTTTGTTGGTGCTTGGTTGTCAACGTCAACATTAAATATCTAGCAACACAAGTAGCCACAGTTAGTTAAAACACAAAGATAAACATGTGAGTGAGCAGAGGAGCGCTGTGACCACGTGTGTTCATCCGCTCATGCGCATTACCACTGTTTTCATCAACTTATACCACTGCATGAAGTAGTCCGTCACTTGATTATTTTCGTGTTATTTCGGGGACGGTTGTGTTAGTTGAAAAAGTTCCCTAAAAAAAATCGTGCTATTGCCAAAACATGCTAAGTGGACACGTGTTAAATGAATAATTACTGTATTGAGATGGTTGCAAGGCCGACCAGCCTCTCCTGTGTCATTGTGGAGTGTAGATGTGTTTTTATTAACTTCAGCTTGGAGAAGCTGCATTCTTCACTGGCAACTGTTACAGGAAGTGTTAGAAGTATGCGCAGTGCAACAAAAGCATTTGGAAAGAAGGTGAAGAATATTTATTTTGTATATTTTTTAACATGCAAGGTTGACAATTTGGGTTTGTTATAAAGCTTTGACTTTTTGAATCTCAATCTACTGTCATCAGACAATTATTGTCTGACATTCCCTATTACCTGCCCTGCCATAATTTCGAACAACTATTAAAACTGACACCATAATTTTGAACTGATTAGATAAAACTGAAAAAAATATTAAATAAAAATTGAATGCTGACAAGACTACTCAAAACCCCATACTCAATCTCCAAAAGAGCATGCTTCCCATTCAGGGGTCACAGGAGAAAATAGGAGTACAGGTCAAATCTCCCTTGTCCAGCACCCTGGATCTTCTTTGGTGAATCTTGTATTCTTGAATGGGCGGGGAAATAGCTTCAGTGTGAAGTTCCTCTGCCAACTTCTGTGCACTCTTCAGAACATTTTGAAATCCCTCATCTGACCAGTAAGACTGTAGGTATGACTTTGCTTTGTCTAGTTGTTCCATTGCTCCAGATATATCAAGGTCAACACCTTGGAGTCTCTTGCTTACAACATTTATTTCAAACAGTACGTCATGCCACAACACTAAGCCACACAGAAATTTGAAGTTATGTATGTGTCTGGTGATTACATTTCCCTCCGCCACTGTTCTCCCATGAACAGTTCCTGTCATAGCATTATCCTCCATAATGGCAACTATGGCATCATCTATCTTCCCAATTTGGTGCTTGATAGGCTTTCTCGCCTCCACTCGACTTTCCCATCATGTGGCACTCAGTGGTTTCAGTGTCAAAGAGGATGTTCCCAGATGTTGCTTCAAAATTTGCCATTGATGAGTTGATGCAGAGAAAAATACATAGATGCTTTGAATTACATTAAAAAATTCAGCTGATGCTGCATCACTGACCACCAAGTTCAATGAATGAGAACTGCAGGGGACAAAAAAAGCTCGAGGGTTTAACTCTCGGATCCATGTCAGCACTCCTCTGTTCTTTCCTCTCATGTTAGTACCATTATCATAGCCCTGACCTCTCCTGTCATGGCCCTGACCTCTTATGTCAGCTATCACAATTCCTGTATCTTCCAGCTTTTTAAGAAGCACATTTGTCATACCAGCTCCTGTAGTATCATCAGTGTCAATAAATTCTAGAAAATGCTCTCTGACAGTCACCATTGCAGGGACATTTTCACTAGGTTCTGTTGTTGTTACAAAATGCACCATTAAAGTCATTTGTTCTGTATGGCTGATGTCAAGTGTGCGGTTCAGAATAACAGAGTAATATCTTGCTGACTTCAGATCTGCCACAAACTTCTGTTTGACTTTTGTTGCTGGTAACGATATGATCTCATTTTGAATTGCTCTTCCAAGGTAGTGGTGCGTGTACATTTCTTGGATGGTGACTCTTCTTAGATGCTCCTGGAGTACAGCATCAACCTGAGCCATCAGCTCCACAGTTTTAAGGAAATTTCCATTTTTTGGCACATACAGCTGATCTGAAGTGCCACGCAGTGCTAGGTTTTGGGTAGCAAGCATTCTCACAATGGCAATGATCCTTTTCAAAACATTTTGCCAGTAAAGAAACTAATGCAATATTCTCTTGATGCTGTCCATCAAGGGGGGATAGCTCAGTGGTTTGAGCATTGGCCTGCTAAACCCAGGGTTGTGAATTCAATCTTTGTGGAGGCCATTTGGGGCAAAAATTTGTCAGGGATGGTACTTGGTCCTGCTGTGAAGACAGGGGACTGGACTCAATGACCTTTCAAGGTCCCTTCTAGTTCTAGGAGATAAGCAATCTCCATTAATTATTATCTATGGTGGCCTTTAACCTTAGTCTCATCTCAAGCTCTTTCCACCTATGGAATGCTCTCTGGTGATTTGTTGCCTTCTCATGGCATGCCAGATTTTTCCAGTCCTTTGTTCCTGTAGAACCCAATGTGGCTGGAACATTAGACTGGAAGAGTTTGCAACAAAAACAGTATGCAGCATTCTAGATTTTTGAGTACATAAGCCATGGACTCTCCACTTTGTCACCATTGGGGATTTTATACCAGTAATGTGTTGTATGGAAACTTCTATTTTCATTTGTCTTTAGGGAACATGAAGTTTTTCACTTGCTGTGGCCCATGCAGTACAAGGAAGTCCCTCAGGCTACTGCTCAAGTGGGTCCACACTCTTGGATCATCTAGACTTAAGGAACTAAACTCAGAAGCAGCTGTTTCTTGCGCCTCCACCACACTCTTCTCTGATCTACACTTTTCTTCAGGAATGTGCATGGTTACATCCATTTGAGATGGAGATAAGGATTCTGCAGTAGCTGCTAGGTCATCTGCACTCTGAGTAACTGGAAGATCAGGCATCTCCTCACCACTCTCATCCTCACTGGGGCTGGAAGGCTCACCATGAACATTTGTGTCTATGTATCTCAGGAGAGCTCCTTCCTGCTTAGATAGAAAAGCTTCCTTTGCTTGCTTGCTTTTTCTGAATGCTGCCCCAGAGGGGCGTTTTCTTCTTTCACTCATGACTGCTGTTCTGTGCCAGCTATAGTGGCTCTCAGTACTCAGTTGAAGGGGACAGATAAGCAGGCTGGTAGCAGGGCCTGAGTGAGGGAAGATACCAGCGTCTTAAGGGCCTAACTGGCTCCTACTACTTCAGTTGACTGCCTGTTTCAAGTGGGTTCAGGGAAGCAGCAGGAAACAGGAAGCTCCCTGAGAAGCTGGTGTTAATCAGTCCAGGCTCCTGGGGGTACTAGAGAGGTACATAATAGGCTCTTCCTCCTCTCTCTCCCTGAAGCTCCTGCTGCTTTCTGTTATTTCCTCTCACTTTTTCTCCTGCCTGCCTGTTTTGTCTTTTGTACCCTCCTTCCTCCAGCACAGCACTCCACCATCTCTGTGCATCTAGAGCAGAGAGAATACATATGCACCAGCAGCAGACACAATTTTCTACACTCTGGGTCCTAGTGGAGCCCCCCCCCCCACAGTCTGGCACCTGAGGCAGCCGCCTCAGTTCGCCTCATGGTAAGGCCAGGCCTGAAGATATACCTTCCATTTGAGTAAGGGGGTATCCAGTCTTGTCCTGGATTTTTTGGCAGCCTCAGTCACCAAATCTTCACATGACAGGGCAGCAGTTTCTTCATGAGAGAGTTTCTTGGCCTAGTGAAAAAAAAGTGAGAATAATTCAGATTGGTTATCAGCTACATTGCTTATTTTGACACTTTCACTGCCTTGCTGAGAGCTGCATTTTATTTGAAACCTCTTTCAGGAATAAGGCATTTATAACTTCCAACAGGACCACCTCTTGCATTAACCAGTTGAGGGAACAATTCTGGGAAATTATCTCCTCAAACTACCCCCAGGCCCAATCTGTTCCCTTTGAGGGGAGTATAGCGCCTGTATTCCATTCACTGGCAATGCTACTTTCTATGAGCAGCAGTCTGCCATATGGTATATCAGTCTGTATTATCCTGTCATCCTCTACTGCTCTTTTTTATTGCAGAATTTCTTTCTCTAAAGTTTGTGTGGGAAATGTGCTTCCCCTCTTTTTAAATATGAAGTTACTTTAGATTTTGCTATATTCTCATCAAACTGAATGGAAAAAAAAGTTAAAGGTAGGACTCAGGAAAATTTCTTTTTTTGTGTGTTTTGAATTTAATGCTTCAGAAACCAGAAGTATGCAAAGAACTCTACTGCTCCAGTGGATATATACAGCAAATGGCTAGAAGTAGAGGAACATATTGAAATTTATACACTCTGTTAGATCAGTTCTGCTTTAATGTTTCACCCAGAAAAGTTCTGTGTGCTGCAGCAAGTGTTGATTGACTGTGTTAATAGAGTCCAACTATTTCTGTTTTTTTTTAACTGAGAGTAAAATGTGTTCTTCAGTGAGAACATTTTGTAAAAGGTTATCATTAATCTTCTCAGAGATAAATAAAATAAAAGATTTCCTTGATAATTCTCCCATTACCCTTTTTTTCTAGTCTTTGAAAAATGATGAGGCATCTGCCAAAAGTGATGTGCAGAAACTTCTGGAACTAGGCCAAAAGCAAAGGTAAGAAGCTACTTCCTTTCTTTGCTGTTAACAGATGGAAAACTCTTAAGACCATGTAATTCAATTGTTCCCTTTAACCAGTAAGCACAGCACAATAGTCATGTCTACTAGCTATCAGCCATGACTGTCTAACAGCAGGAAAGAGGAACAATGCAGGACTGTTTCTGTCAAACCTGAAATACTGCTGATCTGTGGCCCACTTCACTTGATAGTTGCTTAATAATAATATTCACAAGGGATGGCATTAGAAATAGACATGCATCAAGGAAATTGGGTTTGTTTTTCAAGGTTAGCTCAGAGATGTGTCCTTACTTATTCAAGTCAACAGAGTTCTGCACTTAATTTTTTGAAAGTGAATAGTGAATTGATTGCCTTCTTCAGGCACCATGAAAGGGCCTGATTTTCAGTGGGTGCAGTGATCTTTAAAGCATCTCAAATTAGATACCCAGTTGTATGACTCTCTGCAATTGTCGGCTTCTTCAAGACAGGCCAAACAAGGAAAATAACAGAACACTGTTAGTTATCACCTGCATCCCCCCAGCTTGACCCACTCCAGTCCATCATTGATAATCTATGACCTATCCTGAAAAAACGATCCCTCGCTCTCTCATAGCCTTGAGAGACAGGTCAGTCCTTGCCTACAGACAACTCCTTTACCTGAAGCAAATTTCTTCCAGCAGCCACACATCACTCCTTAGACACCCTCACCCAGGAACCTACCCCTGCAACTCTATGTAAGCGGGGGAATGATCCCGCTATTGTGGGGAACTTTCCTGGCTTCTATACACCCCGGTGAAATGAACCAGCGAAAGGATCTGAGTCCCCGCTCCCACTTCCTTTACCCCACGGCTCCCTGATCCTGAGGGCTCCCCCTCCACTCTCCTGAGTAGCAGAGCCCTTGAAACCCCAACAAGGCTGGGCCCAGGTTTCCTGGGGCTTAATCCCTGACCTTGTAGTCACTAGGGGCAGGAGTTAGGGTGTCCCCACTCCGAGGTGCTCTCTTTACACTGCAGGCCTTCTTGGCCCAGTGACCACTTCATAAGGTTCAAAGCAAATACAATTTATTAAACAACAACTGATTAAAAAGAAAAGAATAAGAAAAAATGAGAATGGTTAAATGAGAACACACAGTCCTGCTCTGTAGCATGGGGACATCAAAACAGCAGTCTGCAGAG